TAAATACTCTGTTATTAGATAGTTTACCTGTTATTCACATTTTTATTTTCTATAACATACAGTATATTAGTATTTGCTTGCGCGTAATGTACCACAATGAACACATCTAATGCATAATCATTTTGTAAATTAATATGATACTGAAATTTATAAAGTTGTGAAATTGTATGCACTCTTTCCCAGATAAATAACAGATGACATGAACAGTATTTATATATTTAGGCAAAGACACATTACCAAACAATGTAACAAAGACAATCAATTAACGAAAATAAAAGCTGTTGATTCCAGTTTGCGTATTCAATAAACTAGGACTTTGATGTGTTTAAACTTGCGTAATCGTAAATCATACAGAGGAAACTTTGCAAAATCGAAATTAGTAATCTTCCATTTACTTACTTAAATCATGTTCAACTAAGATGTTATTTGACTTTAGATCACGATGAGCAACATTATTTCTTTCCAAATGTGATATTCCTTGCAACAGCTGCAAAGCCAGTAGATACTTTGTTTGAAATGACAGATACGTTTTGTTCAAATATTCCTCCAATGTACATTCATATCTGAAAGAAAATTTTCAATAAGGCAAAGCACTAAGCAACGAAATAATGAAAGGGCAACTAGCAATTTATCTGAACAAACCCATAATAACATATACCGGTAATTGTTATGATTATTTTCTGTCTGGTATGATATTTTGGGTCAAGGTTAATAAAACACTATTATTAGTGATTTTATGTTATTACTTCCATAAACCAAAGAATAAAAAATTTACAAATGGTAAAAAACTATTTAAGATAGCAAAATCTCACTGTGAAACAAGTGAGCAATGCTCAAATATATGGACACGAATGTCAAATGAATTATATGGTCAACACATTGTCAGCCAAATGTTAAAACAATTTAATAAATGCGAATTCAAAAAAAAGTCAAATTTCAGGTAAGTATTGGTACCATAAGTAAAAATTAAAAAAAAAATTATTTCATCTACGAACATAGAAAATTTAAACAGATTGTTCCAATAGTTTCGGGGAAAAGCAATTTTTCACATTTTCTATGAAAACAACGCCAACAAGAACAAAAACAACAATTTAGCAAAACGACACAATTGTGTTTCGATTGTTTGGCAACAATATTTATCATACAGTTTCCTCCAAAACAAAAGAAATTACCTTTTCATGATCAAAAACATTGTTGATGTTCTGCCAAATCCAACAGGCCATGCTAAAGAAGAGGGATGCCTAGTTCTGAATTCTGAATGCTCAGGAACCTTATCAATGATAGCCTGATGCACTGCCATGATGTTAGGATGTGATGGAAGACGTTTCATCCTTGCACGATTGCTAAGAAATAATCCCATAAGATAACTACTTACTTCTTACTGGATACAGATTTATTAATTTATAACTAGGGCTGGGCATTTTTGAATATCTGATCATTTCAGAATCAAATGGAATATTTTTTTCGAATCGAATCTTGAATACATGTGATTTTATGTGACTTTTTTATTGTAATCAATAATTTATTGTATCAATAATTACTAAAATTACAGAATCCGAGAGTTCGCTGAGAGTTCACACACGATATGAGAACAAGTTTCATCCATAACTCACTGGGAAAAAAGCGTCATATGTCAGAATTGCATTAAAAAAATATGGCTCCAATAAAAATAACAGCGGGATTCAACCTTCGGTTCATCTTCGGTCAACATAAACAAAACAAGATGCCGACAATTCGAAATTTTCGTCTGAACCGATTCGAATAATATATTATTTGATTTGAATATTCAATGCGAAATGCCCATGCCTTATAACAAATTCAGGAGAAATCTTGTGAAAACAAAGATAACTTGTGGTTGCGATGGTATCGCAGTTAAAGCGTTAGATCAACTGTAATCCCTATCTCATCTGGGGTGTAATAAATTGGGTAGGTAATGACAAACCAGAAAAATTCCAGTCCCAAGATAGTAGCTCCTTATATATCATTAGATGTCAGTGGCAGATTGTTCAAAAATAAAGACACGAATAAGCATTGTTAACAAAAGAAATAGAGGAAAAAAAATAACTCCCCTACTGCCCTTTATGCTAACTAGTACTAAGTACACTATAGTTTTTAATTTGTACTGCACTTTGGGTTATTAAACGTATTGTTGTGGAATTGTATTCAGAACTTATAAGCCAGATAAACCTGATTCTAAACAGTAGGCCTATAGCAATAGAAAGTAGAGAAAATAATTGAATTAGAAAAAATCAAATTATTGCCATACTGCTACAATTAGTGACAATTTGAGAGTGTAGAAGAACGGAAAAATTAGTAGCGAACCCGTTTTGCCAATCTTTTGACAGGCTGGCAAGTGCACCTCTCCCACAGGTAATTAATTCTGATCTTGTTTGTCTGAAAATCCTTTGAGAATCGGACGAATCATAATTAAAAATCATCTTCACAGCAAATTCCTTCTTTGATTCTGCATAATATTATGAGATTGTTGGAGAAATTTTTTTCATTTTTAAAACATGGCTGACTACTAGTCAGTTATATTTTCCTACATTACGATCATTGATATGAAACGTTAACAAACTTACGAAGCCGGTAAAGAGGTTGACTATTATTTACAGAGCCCACAATAAATTTCTGGTTTTTCTCACAGAGATTGAGCACTTTGAAAACCTATTTGCTATTCTATTGGCTTTCGACTCAGTCAGGATAAATATTAACATCCTATCTCAACCTTTTTATTATATGAAAAAATGTTTCCAATTACTTGTTTTCTTAACTTGTTGCTTCGATTTTGTGATCTTTGAAGTTTTCTTGATACTTGTGGGTGCATTATTTTCGTCATCACGGATTACATTCTCAGAAACATCATTAACCTGCATAATAATTTTTAAGATCTTCATATACAAAAGCTGTTATATTTATTTTTGAGTAGCTGAACGTCCAAGTTACTGAAAACCATTAGTACGGTATATTATATCGCGCGTTACAGAAATTGCCATAACCAGATTAATTTACTATGCCGGAATATTTTGTAAGACAATATTTTGCCACATATTCCTAAATGGGTCATGTCTAGCCCCTATTCAAGGAGTTTAAATTTGAAAATCCCGGTATTTTATGATAAAACAGAATAACTAGTTTACGGACCATTTTACAGTTTTTGAAAATGACATCAGGGCCTGTTCGGTCATACTGTGACTCTGTGAGACCTCAAATGGTCAAAATGATTATTTTCCGGAGGAGAATTATTCTAAATTGTTCATCAATCAATAACCTCTGCTTCATAAACTGCTCCATTACAGCCGACTGCAATACATTTTCCAAGTTTGAAATCACTTATCCTTCCGCTTAATTTTGGCAACAATCTGATATTTTCATCCTGGTATTTACAGTCTGCAAAGATATCCTGCAAACATATAAAGTATATGTTAGATAACAGAAGGCAACGAAAAAAAAAATCCGATTTTTTGATAAACGAACCAATTTCAGTTCTTACCACACCTTAAAACGATGTTTCTATTAATTATTAATGGATAAAAACTGTCAACATGAACTTGTGTAATTAGGATCATAAAAGCACAAAACTCAAATGAAAATGTGATCTTAAACAAACAAAACTGTGTGAAAATAAGCACACAAAAAACTTCCAGGAAGTGAAACTATGAAAAGAAGAATTTTCAAACTTATGTGAAAATAAGATCACAAACAAACTCCTCAACTCATGAAAAAAAATATGATCAAAAACACACAAAACTTCGAAAGTTATTTGAAAATTTAATTATAAAACACATCCCCGATTAATGCTATATAACATGAAATACACCTTAATTCCAGCACACAATCTTGTCAAATCATCCATCCTTTTATGATAAGCATTCTCTTCCTCCATATTTTCTTCGTGAGCTAGAAATAAAGCTGCAAATCCAAACAGGTGACCAGTACGAAGACGACGCCAGAGAAAATCCCTGTTGAAGGGACCTGCTCTCCCATTCATCATCCCACCTCTGACTGACATTTGCTGTTGTATTCTTGCGGCATATCCTGGCAAAACAGCACAGATTTATAGACTTGACTATATTGGAATTATACAGGGTGTCCATAAAGTCATTTTACATGAAGTCAGTTCTCGATATATCTCAACCAGGTTTGTTTTTTATTCAGAAATTGTTTTAAAAGTATTTTTACTTCATTTAATACCTCTGTGAGGGCCAAAACAATATAAGGTATCGATAAATTCCCTTTGCAATTTAAAAAAATTTCCAAGACTTCATGGACAGAGAATACTGTAGATTTTGAACTAAAGATCAATGAAATAACTAATCTAGAGTCTACAAATCAGCTAAGTATGATAGTTTAAAATTCAAAACAATGATTAGTCAAGGCTGAAAAAATGTTGCATTGTAGTTGTAGTACAAAACTAACCAGAAATAGTGGTTTTATATCCTTTCAAGATCTGCTGCCTGGATACATTACTTGTAACATCAACAATCTGAGACAGCTCGGCGGTACTTTCTGGAATTTGCTTTCTGATGGCTGAAATACATTTTGGAAAAGACAGAGTACAGCTAACAGTCCAATAAAACATGAAAGCTGATAACATTCATAGTTCGAGAATGTCTCGTTTATTTTTATTCATATACGCTGATATGCTGATGCATATCCCAATAGCCATCACTAACATTTTGCTTTACCTACTTATTATAACACTCGGGAAGAGTTTATATTTTATATGGTAGTTTTCAATCATTTATCAATAGAAAACAAAAACAGAAAACTTACTTTTGAAATAAGCATCTTGAAGTGTTTTTTTCACTCGCTGGAACTTTTCCCATATAGTTGTAGTGGGTCCCCTACCCCAAAAATGGGGTTGAGTCTTCACAAAATAATTCGCAAAATTCTTCATGTTTTAGAGTATCGTCCTATCAATCCACAACACTCCCTAGTCAGGTTTTGTTCACCAGACTAGGGATGTGAATTTGTGTATATTTTAAACAACTCCAAAACTAAAGTAATCGAATAAGAGCATTAGTTAAAAAAGCATCAGTATAATAATGGATACAATACAAGCAGTAGTGCATAAATTCAGAACCCAATAGTTCAACTGCATTACTTCAGAAACAAAACGTAGGTTATGCATATGTTACTACATTATTTCAAACAAAAAATGTTACATGATTACAACACGTAAAGGCTGATTCAACTTCCATTAAAAATGAAATCGGCTAACCAAAAACATTACTACATGGCAATGCTAAGTTATGCCACAATATAACTATTTTGATACTCTAATACTGAGCACCCAATCTGTCATAATTTGGTTAAGACTACTTTTATGAGCATGACATGAGTCAGGAATGGCAAACCTTTTTCTACTGAATAGGTATGGCATTATACTTTTATTATGATAAAGAAGACGAATAAACGGGCCATTGATTTTATGAATGTCAACATCCATGAGAAACATTGTGGTGCATTATTTCAATAATCGCCGGTGCTGCTTTACACATACAGCACTCATAAAATTTATTAATCAAGCCTAACCTTACTACAAATTATTTTATCAGTGGAATATTCAAAAACATGGCGGGCCACACCAGTCCGCCATCTCCGGCATAGGCACTCATACCTCAAGACAAATACTCATTAAACATTTTTTCATTAGAAGAGGCAAAACAGTAATGTATAAAGTACCAATTTGTCCGAGCAGAACTTCTTAATTTATGGTAGAAAGAGGACTTTAAAGCAAGAACCCCCAAAAAAATAATTTTTAGTTAAAGAACCAAATATAATCAAGAAATCGATTTTTCTACCGAATATCAAAATTATTTATAAAGCAAAAATGGAGCATGTATGAAAAAATACCAAATTCAAATTGCCTTATAGTTAATAATGAATAGGATCCTAAATTTTTTCTGAAAATGCATGCTGTCCTCGGTTTTAATTAGAAAAATAATCTGTGACCTTAACAGATAGGGTTTCTCCCTTTTTAAAGTTTATAATACTTAGTGAAATATAATGAAGTATCATAATGATAAAAAGCATGCACCATGGTGAAAACGTAAGAAAAAGTCGACTAGTTCAGTCAGACTCGGCAATTCTAATATTGTTTGACTACACAATGCAGATATAAGTGAGCATAAAATATTCCTACTATTCAGTGGATATAAAGTGCAATTTTATAAAACAATAGGAAATTGTGCAATAGTGTACACTACAGAAAAAAAAAGCACCAAAGAATATTAAATATTGCAAACAGGATGATATAAGCTAAGGTATAGATATGATTGAAGAATATGTCAGACATATTCTTAATTTTGAACAGATTCTCAAAATACTGGACATTAAGGAAATGAATAAACCATGATTGTACCATATAATATAACCCTTTTGTACTTGCAACTGTTGTTTGAAAAATTATGTGTAAAATACCTCAAAAATAAAATGTAAAATCAAATAAAAAATTGTGTAAATAGGCTAACGGTATGCAAAAACAAAAATAATATTTGGTATTTTGAATAATAAGTATATGACAATTTAGTTGACTTCAGCGTAAAAATATGAATGTAAATTGATAAGTAAACTAATACTTGGTTACATTTTAAAATCTGTCGAATAGGCAGTGGTCTAACTATTAGAAACATGATGTACAAAGTTTGTGAATTATGGCAATCAAGTGCTTGCAATTTTATTACACAATTAACTTAAATATAGGTCTATATAACCATACAAAAATAACCCAAACAAAACATTTAATTTGTTTTACAAGCATATGAAGTATTATTAACAAAACAAGAAAAATAATAAGCATCCGTTGCCAAATATAGCAGTAATTCAACGACATTTTTTCACTGAAAAACTAAGATTGTTCAAATAGTTGATATTGCTTGAAAAAGCGAGCTTACTAGTTACTACAAACCAGGACTAACAACATTTAAAAATCAATGAAACAGAATAAATTAATCCCACAAGCTGCTATACTACATCACTGCATTGTAAATACAAAGTGTGCATTATTTTTGTAAAATAAAAATAAGACGTCGGCTAGGTTTGACATACAGCAACAATGATTCAATAGTGGTGGTATTGAATATGTAAAATTTCTTAATGTGCCAACAATATATAACGGTCATACAAACAAATGATATAATGAACAATCACTGTGATAAAATGAAAGATTAATAATTGAAGACTAAAACCATTACAGGCTTAAAATTTCTTCCTTGATTGCTGGCCAGTTTTAGACGATGGGATTCCGCTTTTTCGGGGAGTAGAACTCGAGTCATCTTGCTTTATTTCCTCAGTTTTCTTGCTCGCTTGACCCAATTCTACCTTTCTTACTCTTTGAGCAAATGATAATGAACACAAAGTCTCACTGACATTTTTCTCCACAGGAGCAACTTGAACCACCATCAATGTTTTACTGTCTTTACTTAGCGAATCTTGAAGCAAGTAAGTCAATTTAGAATTTCTAAATGGAACGTGAGCTTGTCTTCCTCCCAATGCATGAATTACATCACCGAGAGCTGAGAGACTTTTGTTGATATTTTGGGCTTCCTTCAATCGGTCACCAGAAGCACCAGATTTGGATACCCTTTCTGAACCTGCCAAATCTATCAAATTTAACTTTCCAAAACTTCTAACAGCGGTCGTTTCATTGGTACCTTCCACATATACCATAAGTACAGCATGAGAACGTGAACTATGTTCATTCATATTTGTTGAAGCTGTTTTCCGATTGGTATGCCCAAGTTTAAACAATGCATTCACGTCATCAATGTTTTTAACTTTTTTACAAGTTAATCCAGGAACATATAAGCCGCCATCGCCGTTCATTTTAATTTCCAGTTTTTCTGTAGTTGGTTTTAGATTCAGTAAATCCTTTAAAGTTTCATTGTAAATTTCTACCAAAGAAACTGACACTTCAAATTTCCATTCTCCTCTTCTTTCCTCAATGTCTTGAAATAAATCACTAAGAGCTCTTTGATTGATTCCCGGGTCAGATGTTGGCCCTTCCATCGTGTATGTCTTACCAGAGCCAGTTTGACCATATGCAAAAATACAGATATGATACCCGTCGATGCATGATGTAACCAATGATCGAACTTCAGAATAAACTTCAGGTTGAGTTGAAGTTGGTTGGAAAACTTTATCCAGCTCGAAAAGTTGACTTCTTCCTCTTTGAGAATTATGTACAAATATCATACCATCATCATCATGGTCATACGTTACAGCATTCTTAGCTTGATTACCAGACCCGTCCTCGGATATTGTTGGTCTCACTCTAACAAACACCCTAATATTACCTTTCAGTTCAACCAGTTCATTATGGTATTTCTTTCTCAAGTTCATTTCTTTTTTATATCTTCTGATTAATTCTTTGCTGTTTTCACTGATTTCAGCAATAGCATCGCCAATTTTTCTCTCAGTGTGTCTCATTACTTCCTCAATTATCAATGGAAATTTAGAGCACTCTTTTTTAATATGATTATTTTCCTTTACCAAAATATGTACAGTAGAAAGCAGATGCCTCAAAGAACATTGAACTTTATAAAGTTTTGTGCTGACATTGTGCAAATCATTACTTGCAGACGATTTGATATCATTAAGAACAGAATCATGATTTTCTTGTAATTCATTAAGCTTTCTTTGTGTTTCTCTTCTTTCGTTTGCAATTTCCTGATCAAGTTTATAGCATTGTTGCTTCATTTGTTCCTCTTTGTCGTCAGCGTCCTTTAATTTTCGTTCATATTCTGATACAATATCATTCATCTGTTTCAACCTATGTTCCAGTTTTGATTTGTCACTTTTCAGTGTAGATAACTCAACGATTGCCACATCAGATGCTCCACTGAGATCATTAATTTGTGATTGCAGATTTTCACTCATATCATTAGCAGAAACGAGTTTCTGTTGAACAGAAAATAATTGTTGCTGTTCTTTTTTCAGTACAGAATTTATCTCATGTAATTCAGTTTGAAGCGAAGTGACTGAATCTTCTTTGGTTTCCAAATCGTTTGACAAGGACTCAATCTTTGACGATTTTTCATTTAGTTTTGTATTTAATTCCTGAATTGTGTGTTTTGATTTCTTCAATTTCTCCTCAGTTCGTAACACTTTACTTTCCAATCGTTCAACGTCTTTATCAAACTCCTGTTTTTGTTTCTCTGCAGCGTCATTTCCCTCATCAAGTTCCTTTGTTAAATCGTCTTTTTGCTGCAGCATTTTCTTTTTCAAAGCCTCAATTTCAAACATATTTTCATCACGATTCTTCCTCGAAGACGCTTTCAGTTCTTGCATTTCTTGTTCCAAGTTTACAAATTTTTCTTTCTCTTTTGTCACACTTTTCTTTAATTTATCATGACTTTTCTTTTCAGAAGAAAGTTCTGCTTCAATCCTCCTTATTTCATCTTGCAGTTTAGATTGTTCATCAAGATATTGAGAACTAGCTTCATTAGCATCAGATTTGAGCTGACTCATTTCCAATTGGTATTTACTCAGCTGATCTCTCAAACGTGTTACTTCATTCCTCGCCTTCTGAAGACTTTGTTCAGCATCATTGCGGAAGTTTTCCAATTGAGTTATTTTGTTTTTTGCTTCGCCTATTTCACTCTTTTGCTCAGATGATTCAACCTCAACAACTTTTTCAATCATTTTTGTGACTATTTCTGGGGGTTTATTTTCCAAATCATATATTTTTTCATTTTTCGTCTCTAAGTCTTTTCTTAAAACTTCAATTTCCATCCATGTTTTCTTCTCAATTTTTTTCTTGTCATCTTCCAATTTTCGGACAGTTTTTTCCAATTTTTCTATCTTATTATGGGACAATTCAGTCTTATCAATTTCAACAATTAATTCATGATTTTTATCTTTCAAAGCGCTTTCCAATTCAGAGATACTCTTTTTTAACTTTTCAACAACTTTTTCATTATCTGTTTTTTGATTGTCTTTGATTATGAAGTTTCCATTCATTGTTTGATTTTCCTTCAAATCCAACATTTCTGATGTCTTTTCATCTAGTTCTTGTTCCAGATTAATTAGCTGTTCACGCATAACAGATTTTTCATCATGTAACGACTTTATATTATCCACAAGTTTTTGAATGTTTGATACTTGAGCAGAGCCATCAACAGTCGGTCTAATAGGATTTCCTTTCAAATCATCCTCCAACTGCTTAATCTTATGTTCACATTCAAAGACAATATCTTCTAGATTTGTAATCAGTTGATTTTTATCTTTCAAAAGTTCATTTTGAGCTTTTTTCAGAATTTTTACATGGCGGCTTCGCTTTGTTTCCTCTCTATGTAATTGTCCTTTGCATAATCTTAATTCATTATCAAGTTCTTTATTTTTAAATAGAAGGTTATCTCGTTCTCTCTGAAGTATATCATATTCAGCTTTGGTGAGTCCAGCAACTGTAGATAAGGTATCATCATCACTTATGTCAGAACTTTCCGAGCTTTCTGATGTCACGTTATCTAAATCCGCAAATCCAAGTTCTTGCATCATTAGTTCCCGCTTGGAAGGTGATGGTTGTGGTCTTCTTGGAGACAATAGCCTGCTATTGTTAGAAGACTCAACAAGAGGCTTCGGATATTTGAAGTTATATCTTCTGTTATGGGACGTCATTTTTAGGATTAGTCCCTATAAAATATTAGAAATTTGCAAATATTTAGAATTCAATCAATAGCATGCCATCAATTTTCTTAAATTTCCAAATATTGCCCTCTGGAATTTATTTGTTATAAAACATATAGGCCCAGCAAAAAATGACCTTTGACTGTTTGATGGTAGTGCCTTCAATGTGCGAGACTACTTACAGACTTAAGATATAAACAATGTATAAAAATGAAACAGCCGGTAACAAATCCAAATCTTTAGTTTTTGATATAACACAACACTTGATGTATTCAAGAATCTTATCATTTCAGCATTTATTATTCTTTACATGGTAAGTTAGAAATATTGACATGACAAAACTTCGTGGACACGATGCTTTAGATTATTTTGAACAAAGGATCCCACTTACATAAAAAATTAGAAGGATCAATCAAAAAAAAAATTGTTTGATATTCCAACATCAAATATCATTCAAGCTAACATAAACAAACTAAGTACAAAATTAGAAAATACTGAAATATACATGATTACTAGTCCCAGTTTTCTGTTTTATAATTACTAATTCTTTTATATTGCCTTTACGAGACGAATAAACATACATACATTGTATACTACAGCACACCAAAGAATAAAAGGTTGTTTTCAGGTTTTGCTACCCATTCTACAGTATCACCTGGCCAGAGAATCGACAAATTGTTCCTATTTAAATCTTTTTTTTTTTTTTTTTTTTTTTTTTTTTTAATTTTAATATTATATCATGAAATGTAAATTAATTCATCATTCACTTTTTTTTTTTTTTTTTTTTTTTTTTTTTTTTCTTAATAAATTAACACGATCATACAAAAAGACAAAAAAATAAATAGAACTCAATATTACACATTGGCTTAATTGGACACAATCATTCGAAAAATGAAAAACAACAACAAAACAAAAAACCTGAGTAACTACGGGATGCCACAATTCCTGTGGAATGATTAACAAACATGAAATAGGCTATAATCATACAAGACCAATCATCATTAACCGCCTTTAATAAACACAGTATACAGGTATAGCAAATAAAACTGACCAACGCAAGGTCGCGCTTTAGACAGGCTAAGTCAGCTGGGAATGCAGCTGCACTCTTTATTTTTTTTTTGTTTATCAATACTAGTCAATCTTAAAAATGTACTATCAAAAGCTATGACATTACCGACTTTTCTAACAAGTTTTCAATTCTTCCATCCTCCAAAAAGCTATTTTTCATATTTGATGCCATATTTTTCAGCATCCCTCTAATTTTACATTTAAAAATTATTCTCATAACTGATTGGAAATTATCCAAATCTTCAAATATTATTTGATTCCTGAATTCCCAAATAGCTGCCTTTCCACATGCAACTATCATAATAACTGACAGGTCACATGTATTTTGTGCAATAATGGTATCAATATTATTTTCACTAAAATGCAACTCGCACCAATCCCAAAATATTTTAACATAATAGCATTCAAAAAATAGATGTTTACAGTCTTCAATGATATTAATATTGCACAACACACAGTGACCATCATCATATTCTGTCCAATGCCTTGTTCTATTTCCAGTAGGTAATGCCATATGAATTATTTTCCAACATAAAACTTGTACAATTTTAGATATTCCATGAACCCAAATGTTATTCCAATCAATATCAAATTCCAGTCCATAATATTCCTTAATTGATAAACCTTTTTGTTTTGTCACTTCCATTATCTTTTTACTTAGAATTTGATTATACATATATTTCGTGGTTGGAAGTTTTTCAAATGAATATATTGAACTGGAATCTGTTTGAACATTACTTTGACTATTCAACACTATTCCTATTTAAATCATTCATCAGATGTAAATACAGAAATAGTCAGGTGACCTATTTGTTTATTGTTCCTGCATTTTTCCGACCTCTGACCTCCCAAAACAACTCTTTGCCACGAGAGTGTTTACGCAAGTTAGCGCGTACGATACATTGAACGATGGCGATGGCGAGCGGAGGTGCGAACAAGTTCCCGGCTGGGAATTACGCTGCAGTAACGTCTATAGGATTGAATTTTGCGAAATCAAGAAAGAGAATATTCTCAACAACATTAAATAAAAAAGAAAGACCATGTTGCATGGAAATAAAGTATGTTGCGGGATGTGGTAAACCATATGATATTGATAATCGAAAAGTAGTGAAGCATGCAATTTTACAATGCCTGAAATTGGAAGAATTGGAGGCACTTGTGGAAAGAAGGTCGAATGTATTTGAAGTAACTGCAAAATGTAGAGGAGATATTTTGAAATTAGAGTCGTATATTATGTCAGGAGGAATGAAAAACGTTCAAGGAAGACTTCTTTTGTCAAATTCTTCAAAAGTTATTCTACGTGGGGTACCCGGCATATACAGAGAACCTGATATAAAAAAGATTATTATAGCACTTACCAACATCAATCCAGAGGGTATTCTGAAAATCTGGGAGGTAAAAGATCAGGAAACTCCTTCTCTTCGTACAGGGAACTGGAATATTATGATAGAAACCAAGTATATGAATATGTTTGATCTACCAAGTTATGTAGAAATCGATGGCAGGCAAATTTTTGTCAAATATGATGGACAAAAGCAAACTTGCCGTGCGTGTGATAGCACCGAACACTTTGTTACAAATTGTCCAAAAAGAAAGAGCTTACCACAAACAGCAGTTGCTGAAGAAATGCATACACACGAAAGGAATGTTCAGTTACAAAACATTGAAGTAACAGAACACACAAAAAGCAATACCGGTACCGGTACTGAGAACATACAAACACCAACACCAAAAGAAAATATACAAGTAGAAATACAAACAGAAAACGAAGCAAAGGAATTTAGGGAACTTTGTGAAGAATACATGGATACAGAAAATTTGTTCAGATGGGAGGATGTTGCATTCAAAGAAAAAAATAATATAGAAGATTCAAGCGATATGCAAATAGACATTCTTTCAAGTAAAAGAAATCGAGATGAGGAATATTCAGATAAAATAGAATCAACAATCAAAGTATCAAAGAACTCAAGTTTTTCAGATGAATGTGGAGATTGTAAATTTGTTAATAAAATACCCAAGAATAGAAAAGAATTCTCGTGTTCCAACTGTAACACAGAATATTTTGTAACGAAAAAGTGCTGCAGCAATAAATACGTCACTTATAAGAAAAAACTAATCATAGAAAATGGAAACAACATGGTATGTGGTGATTGTGAACAGAGAATAGTCCATATGTCCTGTTGCAATTACTTGGAAAGTATGAAGTTGGTAGAAGAATATATTGAATGCGGCAGATGTGGAAAAGGTCACTCGATATGTGCATGCCAAATGCTAAATGACTCACCAGGCATAGGACAGATCTCCAAATGTCTAAATGTGAATTGTGAGTATTTTAACCTGCAATGTATGTGTGGATTCAAGCAAAATATCTTAGATGTGGAAAATCATGTATGCACAAATTGTGCTACAATATACAGATGTACTGAAGTAACAAAAAATAAATAAACTAAATGGCATTGAAAATTACCACATTCAACTGTAGGGGTTTACGAGATAGTATGAAAAGAAGAAACGCATCTCGATTATTCAATTTGCGAAAGCTTGGAATCATTTTTCTGCAAGAAACACACTGGACAAATGATATGAAGAGAGAAATAAACACATTCAAAGGATATGAAATAATTGCAGCTAATTATACATCACAAAGTGCGGGGGTTGCAATATTAATATCAACAAGACTATCATACAAGAAAGTGTATCTATACTGTGATCCAAAAGGCCGGTATATAATTCTTCAAATGGAAATTGAAGAAAAAAACATAATGCTTGTTAACTTATATGGTCCAAGCAAAGATGATACAGAGTTTTTTCTCGAATTATTGCAAAAAATAGAAGAGAGAGATATTTCTGAATTAATACTTGGGGGAGATTTTAACACAGTGATGAATAATAAACTAGATAAAAGAGGTGGACAAGCAGTACATAAAAACAAAAATGTTCAAAACCTGATTAACTGTATTGCTGAAGAAATTGGATTAATTGATATATTTAGAGAACTGAACCCTGGATTGAAAGAATATACCAGAGAACAATATAATCCAATAGTTGCTTCCAGATTAGATTTTTTCCTTATATCTGCTTCACTCCTTACATATACAATAGATAGTAAGCATGAAGCAAGTATTCAATCGGATCATCGGATGGCTAGTTTTTCAATAGATTGGAAAAAAGATAATCGTGGTCCAGGATACTGGAAATTTAACAACTGTTTATTAATGGATGAAAATTATAAAGAATTGATACACCAGATAATAGAACAAACTATAAAAGATCACGCTCATACATATGTTGAACCAACAACAATGTGGGATACAATGAAATGTATTATCAGAGGGTACACGATTCAATATGCTTCAAGAAAGAAAAGAGAAAACCATGAAAAGCGAGAAAATCTTGAAATCGACATTAAAAAGCTGGAGGATATGCCAACAAAAACTAGTGAAGAAATAAGCAGATTGAACATAAATAAAATGAAATTTGAAAGCCTTATTGCCCAAGATGCTCAGGGAGCTATGGTTCGAAGCAGAATCAAGCAAGCCGAATATGAAGGCAAATGTAATGCATATTTTTTGAAAAAAGAAAAGTACAATGTGAACAAAAATGGTATCAATTTATTACATTACAATGGAGAGCAAATCAAAGATCCACAAAAGATAGCAAATATAGCCTCTGAGTATTATAAAGATTTATTAACTCCAAAAACTATTTCAAAAACAGAAGATATAAGAGCATATTTAAGTACTGTGCAGACAACAAAACTTACAGAGGAAGAAAAACAACAAAGTGAAGGCCTATTAACTTTGAGGGAATGCGAAAACGCACTGAAAGAAATGAGAACAAATACCAGCCCGGGGGAAGATGGTTATACAGTGGAATTTTACAAAGAATTCTGGGAGCATCTTAAAGAAGTGCTACTCAATTCATACAATTATTCTGTAGAAACCGGGAAAATGAGCAAATCACAATCGAGAGGAGTTATAAAGCTTCTTCCGAAACAAGGAAAAAATCTTAAATATATTGAAAACTACAGACCTATTACATTATTGAATGTGGACTATAAAATTGCATCCAAAAGCATAGCTAATAGACTGAAAAATGTAATACAAAAATTGATTCACCATGATCAAAAAGGTTTTATCAAAGGAAGGTATATTGGTGAAAATGTGAGACTATTTTTTAATATCAGAGATGTAGTGAAATATAAAGGTCTCTCTGGAACTGCACTAAACTTAGATATAGAAAAAGCTTATGATTCTGTTTCATGGGATTATCTTTTTGAAGTGTTGAAATTTTTTAATTTTGATCATATGTTTATTAAGTGGGTCAAAACATTGTATTACCAAAGTCAAAGTACGGTTATCAATATGAACTATTTGTCAAATATGTTTCAAGTTAAAAAAGGTTTGAGGCAAGGTTGTAGTCTCTCACCATATATTTTTTTATTAATAATAGAGATATTAGCATGTAAAATTCGACAAAACCATGACATAAAAGGAATTTGTCTTGGAAACACAGAAATTAAAATTTCCTTGCTTGCAGATGATGCAACAGTGTATTCTGATGGCTCAGAAAAAAGCATCAAAACAATTTTTTATGAAACCGATATTTTCTATTCCATGTCT